TTTGATTTTAAATATTTTTAAAACGTAAAGGCATAAATGAGGCAAAATAGCTAATCATCCCAGGGATAAGAATATAACATCCCTAGGAGCGGTATAAAAACATATAAAAAATATAACATGCTTAGGAGCGATATAAAAACATATAAAAAATATAACATCCCTAGGAGCAAAAGGGTTGAATATCTTTCCGGCAGCTCGCGTCCCTCTCTGGAGATAACAAAACGAAATTACAGCATCCGCGTGATACTCAGTGACTCGAGAAGCAAGAACAATGCGTCATGCGCGATAAGTCGGGAAAAAAAGCAGCCTACGGTCCGGGAGTCGGAAAAAGAAGCGAAGTTGCGCATCCTGGGAAAAGGGGAATTAAATAAAATAATCGTAAAGAGAGAGGAGAGAGATAGAGAGGTGCTTAGCTGGCACCCCACCTTTACAAAATTCAAATTTCTTTGTCTTAACATTTTGTGCTCTTTATGTGCTAATTATGTCCTACATTCGGAAATTTTGTGCCAGCTCGGTTTTTGGAATAAAAATTCAATTTTTCTGTGGGGGTGCTGGGTACCAATAAAGCTAGCACCCCCACCCTTAAAAAATGTGTTCAAATAATGAAAAATAGGTGAAAGCTTATCAGCAAATTATGTGCTCTCCGAAAATCATATTCATAAATTAAAATTTCCACCCTTCAGTTTGAAAACAGGTCAATTAGATTTTCACTCCGAGACCTCGTATTATCATCGTTTTAGCAAAGAAGCGCATACAACACTTTTTTTCCCTTTGTCTCGTTCAAATGCGAGTTTATCGATTTCCAGAGTGTTCTAAATTCTTATAAAATTGTCCTGACCCTTTCGATTCTCATATCAGAGCTTTCGATAATTGTATATTGATCGAAATATGAGAGCTCGACGCCATTTTGGTTCTGGTCTGGGCTGAGTTAAAAAATTTTCTTAAAAAATCCAAATTTTCAATGCGTCAGGACAATTCTTAGATGATCAGGATGTGTCAAAGTTTCGGACAGTTTGGTCCAATACCCTTAAAAAAAAAGTGTTGTATTAGAATCGACTGATTTGAAGGGTGTTTCACTTCACCTTAAATTACTCCCAGAATTATGTGCTGCTTTACGCACCTAAGATAGAGGGGTAGGGAAGACGTCGGCCGTCCTTCTTTATAAAAGTTAGGCGATAGAGGGGATGGCGAAAATTGCACCTCGCAATTCGGTCGCTTATAAGCGGGGGCAGGGTGCTATCTGCGGATTCCGCGGATTCTCCGGATCCTCCGGGTCCTCCGGAATACCTCGGCCGCGAGGTAGGGGGCGCGCGTCGCGACGGCCGTCGCGGGAAAGGAGGAGCGACAACGGCGACCGGCGTCGCGGCGCGCAGCCGTCGACGTCGGCGTACATTATTGATTGCGCGAGCGAGAGATGAGGAGAGACAGAGGTCCACCCCGAGCCCTATTCACTCGATACACCCCTTAGGTGGGTATGAGGCCACTTTTCCCCGGCGTCGCGACGCCCGGCCGCAACGACGGCCGCTAATTTACGGCAAATCGCCGATCTCGGATCCTACCCGAGAATGACCAATCTGGGAATTTTACAGGGACGTTTCTCACCCCCGCAAGAAAAATCTATAGAGGTAAATACGACGAGGGGGGAAGGTTAGATAATGAGATTTATGTTAGGAGTAATGAGACTCCCCTAGTAGCACTAAATATTTCTCCTATATTTTCTATATATTTAACGAATATCGTACATTTCGTATATGGTTAAAAGACATTTGAAATATTTGCCAAACGTTTACCTTAGAATATTATNTATACGTTCATAAATTATTGAAACAAATCATGTCATTGAGATTTTCAAGAAATATTTCAAATATCTTCGCATGAAATCTACAAGAAATCTTAAAAAATCCGTCGCTTGAGATATTTAGCAAAGATTAGAAAGAAATATTTAGAAATTATTCTATGCTACTGGGCCGTTTCCTCGACAAGAGGCGGAAAAATTGCCGTGGAGTCCGATCGCTAAATTACGGCCGATTTCTCTCGTCTCTTTAGGTCTCAGGTTGCTCAGGACGTCCCAGGATTTCCTAGGAAATGGGAATCCACGAAGCGCCAGGACGAATGGCGCTGATTTACGGGCCAGGATCGGAAGAAACCCAGTCAAGGCTGCTCCCGATTGTCCTGGGAGGAAGGTAAATGACCACCCCTTAACGAAGGATTCTCCTCTCCCTCTTCCGCGCGATTATCCGTCTCTCGGATCCTGAATAAGCGCTCAGGATCCTTCCGGCTCCCCGTCAAGGACACTCTTCTGCAACAATGGCGCCGCGACCTTTCGGCTTTCTCGAAACTCGGCGAATCCTCGATTCTTCGAAGGCTTGGATCTCGGAATCTGGGAAAGGATCTGGGAATAAAGGGATGAAGCATGAAGCGAGGTCCTGAGACCAAAGAAAGAGGCTGCAGCGGCCATCTTTCGCTCCCTAGAGGCATAGAATAATTTCTAAATATTTCTTTGTAATCTTTGCTAAATATCTCAAGCGACAGATTTTTCAAGATTTCTTGCAGATTTCATGCGAAGATATTTGAAATATTTCTTGAAAATCTCAATGACATATTTAGTTTCAATTATTTATAAACGAAAGAGGCTGCAGCGGCCATCTTTCGCTCCTTAGAGGCATAGAATAATTTCTAAGTATTTCTTTGTAATCTTTGCTAAATATCTCAAGCGACAGATTTTTCAAGATTTCTTGTAGATTTCATGCGAAGATATTTGAAATATTTCTTGAAAATCTCAATGACATATTTAGTTTCAATAATTTATAAATGAAAGTGGCAGCAGCGGCCATCTTTCGCTCCCTAGAGGCATAGAATAATTTCTAAATATTTCTTTGTAATCTTTGCTAAATATCTCAAGGGGCAGATTTTTCAAGATTTCTTGTAGATTTCATGCGAAGATATTTGACATATTTCTTGAAAATTTCAATGACATATTTAGTTTCAATTATTTATAAACGAAAGAGGCTGCAGCGGCCATCTTTCGTTTCCTAGAGGCATAGAATAATTTCTAAATATTTCTTTGTAATCTTTGCTAAATATCTCAAGGGACAGATTTATCAAGATTTCTTGTAGATTTTATTCGAAGATATGTGAAATATTTGAAATCTCGAATCTCCGACACTTACATGGAAGATATCCCAGGTCAATCTCTCCGATTTCATTTCTTTTATAATATGTTATAGTAGACTAAAAACTAAGCATACGTATTTTTTTTTATCTGCCACTAAAGACTTTAAGGGGGTGAAACCACCATCCAAAGTAAGACTCGGAGGGTTGGCTCACCCCTTAATTCCTTTTTTTCTTTTAATTGAGAAAATTATATTTTTCATTTCTCGTTATGAGAAATCTTTTCCAGGTGGATTGGTATAAAAAATATTATGTTCTCGTGGGTGAAACTGCCAAATCGTCTCTTGACATGCTTTGCTTTGGATGGTGGTTTCACCCCCTTAAAGTGTTTAATGGCAGATGAAGAAAAATACGTGTCGCTTAGTTTTTAGTCTACTATAACATATTATAAAAGAAATAAAATCCGAGAGACCGACCTGGGATACTTTCCTTAGCCCGAGAGTTTGGCGAAATTTCTCGCGTGAATATTTGGGAGAAAATCGGACCGGGGGCCATCGATCGGAAGGTTCCCTCTTTCTCTTGGATTCTCTTATCCTTTTCTCCTCTCTCTCCTAGGGGTGGATGACGGGGCCAGTAGAAGTACATGTACGTACGTTACGTACCTTTCAGGTGTTTCGGACAGCACACAAACTCGACCCCGGAGAACAGAGATATCCCGCAGGGCAGCAGCATGGCGAAGCTCCTCAGGTTCATATTCCTCTCCCTGCAGGTGTCCGCGGCCGTGACGTTCCATCTGAAAGGAGAAATTAAGGTGTTAGCGGCATCCCTGGGAAAGGGGGTGGAATAAACCCTAGTAGCACAAAATATTTCTCCTATATTTTCTTTATATTTAACGAATATCCTACATTTTGTAAATATTTACCAGATANATCATAGAGATAATATTCTAAAGTAAACGTTTGGCAAATATTTCAAATGTCTGGTAAATATATACGAAATGTACGATATTCGTTAAATATATAGAAAATGTAGGAGAAATATTTTGTGCTACGAGGGGAGATTCCTTACGGAGAGCGATGCGCACCCTTTGTCCACGTGTCGCTGTGGAGAATAGCAGGCTTTAAAGTGCATTGACATCAGGGTTGGACGTGATAAGAAGTTCTTGACGTGCATTGAAATGGAAATGGGGAAATTCGAGGTCTCCTTGAGGGATGGTCTGGCCCTAGAAGCTGGATTCCTCTTCCGCGAGTCGGATGGATTGGATCGATATTCCATCGTTTAAATTTATAAATAAGCATCGATAACATGTTTAACAATTGGTCAGTCCTGTCATTCATTCCTAGAGTCCCGAAGAAGACCACGGAATTTTTTGGGGGGAATTTAATACATTCGCGACCGCTGACGTGAATTCACGTCATTTTAAATGCNTTTCAAATATCTTCGAATGAAATCTACAAGAAATCTTGAAAAATCTGTCGCTTGAGATATTTAGTAATGATTACAAAGAAATATTTAGTAATTATTCTATGCCTCTAGGGAGCGAAAGATGGCCGCTGCAGCCTCTTTCGTTTATAAATAATTGAATCTAAATATGTCATTGAGATTTTCAAGAAATATTTCAAATATCTTCGAATGAAATCTACAAGAAATGTTAAAAAATCTGTCGCTTGAGATATTTAGCAAAGATTACAAAGAAATATTTAGAAATTATTCTATGCTACTAGGGAAATATCGGTAAATGGAGTTAAGAGTCGTCGGAGGCCGAGTCGACCACGGAGAGACGTGAAGGTAAATCACCTAATCAGCGATCGCATGCACCTATCGCGTCTCCTTACTTATTAGAGGTGGCCGTGCTACACATTACCGCTCATAAATTTCAGGACATGCCTCCGGACCATACAAGAGGACCATAACAATTAACCCGTTCCGTTTATTCATTTACTCATTTATCATCGTACTTCCATCGATTTAGTACAGAAACGCATAAGACACTTTTTTGTCTTTATCCCGCTCAAATGCGAGTTTATCGATTACCAGAGTGTTGTAAATTGTCGTAAAATTGTCCTGACCCTTTCATTTGTCATATCAGCCTTTGATAATTGTATATTGATCGAAATATGAGAGCTCGACGCCATTTAGGTTCTGGTCTGGGCTAAGTTAAAAAATTTCTCCCAAAAATCCAAATTTGTATAATGTGTCCGATCAATTCTTACATGATCACGAGTCATGTTTCGGACACTTTGGTCCAATACCCTTAAAAAAAAGGGTTGTATTCGAATCGACTGACTTGAAGGGGGTTTCACTTCATCTTAAGTGTCCCGAAATATATGAGCGATACTATGTACAGATGAATTTCTATCTCGCCTCACTTGTGGGACTCCCAGCACTTGGTCTGGTTGTGCAGGTGATCGAAGAGGCATCCTTCGGGAACCAGCAGGGCGTCGCTCTGGAAAGGTCCTTCTGCGGATCAAAGACACAAAAGTGTTATTAACAACCCCGGAAATGATGTTCATGGTTTACTATTTTTAAAATACCTATAAACAAATTGGAAAAGAATTGAAATTTCAGGAGTTTCAGGACCTTCCTTATAGTCTCCCTATTCACGTTGTGAAGTTTCAACCTATTCGGTAAACCGAGTTGGGAGAAAAGTTTCATAAACAAAACCTCATCGACGCCACTTTCACATCGCCTTAAATCGGGTCAGCAATTCTTTAAAGAGCTTTTGTTCCTCATCTTGCCAGGATCATTCGGTAACCAGAGCAGAGGTAGGGAGTCGTATTTTCGTTCCATCAATGAAGAAGCGAATAACCACGTCGACCAGCATCCAGGGCTCCGTTTGCGAAGAGGCCCAAGAAAGAGAGGTCAGGAGTGCGTGGGAGAGTAACGGAAGCGGATCGGGGGGGAGAAGAAAAGGCAGAAATAAAAAGAAAAAGAGAAATGGGAACCTCCAAAGCGAGGCGATTCCTTTCATCGACGCAGCCCAGCTCGCGCGCGAAAACGGGGCCCCCTTTACTTAGAAATTTCCCCGGCCATTTCCGCGAGCCAAGCACTTTAAGCCGGAAACTTTGAAGCGAGTCAGCACCGAGCATCCGAAACCGCGTAGCTCGAAACCCGGGTATTTAATTAAACTTTTCCGGAAGGCGCCCCTGCGAGGAGCCTCGCACGAATCGCGCCGATCCGAGAGGAGGGCTTTCAATGGGACCTGGTGCACCAGGTTGCCCCAGGGTGCCCCAGGGTGCAGCCTATGCGCTTTGGCGTTTCCTGGACGGAACGTGGTCGCTTTAATCGCGAAGGGCGATGCTATTAATGGCGAAATAGGAGCGGTAAACGCCGAATGTTGGATAGGTCAAGGATTGGGTAAATGGATCTTTTGGTTTTTCTTCCTTTTGATTCTCCGGGATTGCCCTGTTTTACTGGGGCAACTCGTGCACAAGGGTGCAGCCTATGCAATTCGGCATTTCCCGGATGGAACGCGGTCGCTTTAATCGCGAAGGACGATGCTATTAATGGCGAAATAGGAACGGTAAACGCCGAATGTTGGATAGGTCAAGGATTGGGTAAATGGACCTTTTGGATTTACTTCCTTTAGATTCTCCGGGGTTGCCCTGTTTTACTGGGGCAACTTGTGCAAAAGGGTGAATCCTATGCAAATCTGCATTTCTCGGAAGGAACGTGGTCGCTTTAATCGCGAAGGGCGATGCTATTAATGGCGAAATAGGAGCGGTAAACGCCGAATGTTGGATAGGTCAAGGATTGGGTAAATGGATCTTTTGGTTTTTCTTGCTTTAGATTTTCAAGCGTTTGCTCTGTTTTACTGGGGCAACTTGTGCACCAGGATGCATCCTATGCAAATCTGCAATTCTCGGAAGGAACGTGGTCGCTTTAATCGCGAAGGGCGATGCTATTAATGGCGAAACAGGAGCGGTAAACGCCGAATGTTGGATAGGTCAAGGATTGGGTAAATGGACCTTTTGGATTTACTTCCTTTAGATTCTCCGGCGTTTGCTCTGTTTTACTGGGGCAACTTGTGCAAAAGGATGCAGCCTATGCAATTCGGCATTTCCCGGATGGAACGTGGTCGCTTCAATCGCGAAGGGCGATGCCATTAATGGCGAAACAGTAGTGATAAACGTAGAATGTTGGATAGGTCAAGGATTGGGTAAATGGATCTTTTGGTTTTTCTTCTTTTAGATTCTCCGGGGTTGCTCTGTTTTATCGGGGTAACTCGTGCACAAGGGTGCATCAGGATGCAGCCTATGCAATTCGGCATTGCCCAGATGGAACGCGGTCGCTTTAATCGCGAAGGGCGATGCCATTAATGGCGAAACAGTAATGATAAACGTAGAATGTTGGATAGGTCAAGGATTGGGTAAATGGACCTTTTGGTTTTTCTTCCTTTAGATTCACCGGCGTTTGCTCTGCTTTACTGGGGTAACTCGTGCACAAGGGTGCATCAGGGTGCAGCCTATGCAAATCGGCATTTCCCGGTTGGAACGCGGTCGCTTTAATCGCGAAGGGCAATGCCATTAATGGCGAAACAGGAGTGGTAAACGCCGAATGTTGGATAGGTCAAGGATTGGCCAAATGGACTTTTTGTTTTTTCTTCCTTTAGGTACCGCGGCGTTGCCCTGTTTCACCGGGGCAACTCGTGCACAAGGGTGCATCAGGGTGCACAAGGGTGCACCAGGATGCATCTTATACAATTCGTAATTTCCCGGAAGGAACGTAGTCGCTTTAATCGCGAAGGGCGATGCCATTAATGGCGAAACAGGAACGGCAAACGCCGAATGTTGGATAGGTCAAGGATCGGCCAAATGGACTTTTTGTTTTTTCTCCCTTTAGATTCCGCGGCGTTGCCCTGTTTTACCGACCTAGCTCGAGTTGGACGGCGGATGGTAAATGGGTCAGGGATCGACTAAATGGAATTCTTGATTTTTTCCTCCCTCCTCTCTTTTCCGACCGTTTTTCCTGCCTGCGCGAGTGTACCTACATTTCCGTCCCCGGTTGTGTTCCTGAAATCTTACTTTTCCAGGGGAATGAACCCACTCTAAAGGACCGCGGAGATTTCTTTCTTTTCCCCGATGCTTTTTACAGATTTTTCAAATCTGCGGAAAGCTCGAAAGGGTTCTTTGGAGTCTTTTCCGGGATTTTCTGTCGCCAGGGAGGAACTTTTCCGCGCCTGGCAGACGTCGAATCGAGAAAGCGATCCTTCTCTCTCCGTAATACGATTAGGAGAAAGTTCACGTACGGGGGAAATTCTCTGAGAACGAGTGTACGCCAAAGTGCGATGGGTACGCGGGTGAACGCGAAAAAAAAAGAACAAAAAAAAAACAAAAAAGGAAATGGCCAATCGCCAGGTCACGTCTTGAGGCTCCATCTTCTCTGCCGCATTACGATTACGGTTTCACCAACGCGTTCTATTCGGATGAGACACCCCTAGTAGCATAGAATAATTTCTAAATATTTCTTTGCAATCTTTGCTGAATATCTCAAGCGACAAATTAAAAAAAATTTCTGATTTCAATTCTGATCTGAGGGGAGTTTCACTTCACCTTAAATTTTCACTCCGAGACCTCGTATTTCCATCGTTTTAGCATAGAACCGTATACAACACTTTTTTTGCCTTTATCCCGTTGAAATGCGAGTTTATCGATTACCAGAGTGTTTTAAATTGTCGTAAAATTGTTCTGACCCTTTCGATTCTCATATCAGAGCCTTCGACAATTGCATATTGATCGAAATATGAGAGCTCGACGTCATTTTGGTTCTGCTCTGGGCTAAGTTAAAAAGTTGTATCCAAATTTTGAATGTGTCAGGACAATTCTTAGATGATCACGAGTCATGCGACAAAGTTTCGGACAGTTTGATCCAATACCCTTAAAAAAGAGTGTTGTATTCAAATCGACCGATTTGAGGGGGGTTTCACTTCACCTTAAGGGTGTGCGTCACCAACACCAGGAAAGGTCCAAGGAACGCGTCCAAGTCACGAGACGCCGCTCGATGAAATTCTACACTGCGGTTCGCCAGAGAAGAGAGAGCGAGAGGTGAAAAGAAAGAGAGAAGGGCCGGGGGAGGGAACGGGGGGAGGAAAACGGAGAATGGAGAAAGAAAGAGGGAAAAAGGAAGTCGAAAGGGAGAAGGAGAGTGCCGAGATGAAAGCGGTGCCGGGTCCGTAGGCATCGTGCCTGGACCGCGCCTCCCTCTGCAAGCTCTCCGATATTATCCCGGGGAAACTGAATTGAAAGGATCGCAATTTCCCCGGAAACGATGCGTCCGGAAGTCGGCGTATTCGAGCGATATGAAATACCGATTCTGGTCGGAAACCCAGATACCGCTTCGGGTCGAAGAGAATGCCCGATTGTCGAAGGTTAAACGCGAAACTCGATGAAAATCGGGCGCTCCGATGCATTTCCATTTTCTATACGGAATTGAAAATTATTCTAATTACTCTCGACTGGGAGATGTCGCGACATTTCGAAGAGTGCAAACGAAAAGCAGAGATGGCGCCGTAGGGACATTCTATATGTGCCCACAATTATGAAAGTGGTGTAAGTCATATATTTTTTGTTTCGAAATTACATTGAATTAATTTCGTTTGAAATAATATGGCATGAAATAACTCATAAACTCATTTTTTTTTTTTTAATTTTGACTTAGACCACTTTCATAATTATGGGCACATATATCGAGAAGATACTTTTAAGGTGAAGTGAAACCCTTTTCAAATTAGTCAAATGTACTATTGTGGAAGGTTAAACGCGAAATTCAATGAAAATCGGGCGCTCCGATGCATTTCCATTTTCTATACGGAATTGAAAATTATTCGAATTACTCTCGACTGGGAAATGCGGCGATATTACGAAAAGTGAAGAGGAAAAGCAGAGATGGAGCCATAGGCACATTCTATATATCGAGAAGATGCTTTTAAGGTGAAGTGAAACCCATTTCAAATTAGTAGAATGTACGATTGTCGAAGGTTAAACGCGAAGCTGAATGAAAATCGGGCCCTTCGATGCATTTCCATTTTCTATACGGAATTGAAAATTATTCTAATTAATCTCGACTGGGATATGTCGCGACATTTCGAAGAGTGCAAACGAAAAGCAGAGATGGAGCCGTAGGTACATTCTATATATCGAGAAGATGCTTTTAAGGTGAAGTGAAACCCATTTCAAATTAGTAGAATGTACGATTGTCGAAGGTTAAACGCGAAGCTCAATGAAAATCGGGCCCTTCAATGCATTTCCATTTTCTATACGGAATTGAACATTATTCTAATTACTCTCGACTGGGATATGTCGCGACATTTCGAAGAGTGCAAACGAAACAAGAGATGGCGCCATAGGTACATTCTGAACACCTAGAAGATACTTTTAAGGTGAAGTGAAACCCATTTCAAATTAGTAGAATGTACGATTGTCGAAGGTTAAACGCGAAGCTGAATGAAAATCGGGCGCTCCGATGCATTTTCATTTCTAGACGGAATTGAAAATTATTCTAATTAATCTCGACTGGGATATGTCGCGATATTTCGAAGAGTGCAAACGAAAAGCAGAGATGGCGCGATAAATTCGCATTTGAACGGGATAAAGGTAGAAAAAAAAGTGTTTTATGCGTTCCTATGCTAAAACGATGGAAATACAAGGTCTTGGAGGGAAAATTTAATTCACCTGGAAATCACAGATGGCGCAGGGGGTCCCTCTGCAGTCAATTAGGGCCCCAGAGAGCACGAATCCAGAGGATTTTGAATGTGTCAGGACAATTCTTAGATGATCAGGAGCGATGTGTCAAAGTTTCGGACAGTTTGGTCCGATACCCTTAAAAGAAAGTGTTGTATTCGAATCGACCGATTTAAGGCGGTTTCACTTCACCTTAGTTCCTCGATTCTCCGCAGGGCGGAATCGTCTTCGCGGGGGGCAGTCGTCTCGATCGGACAGGCCGATTGCGGAGCGACACGTCGCGGGTGGACGGCTCGTAAAGCCGACTTTACGAGGAACCGTAAAGCCTGGTTACGTTGTTAAGTTACCCCGACTAGGCGGTAGTGGGTCAATTATAGAGTGCAAACTCGGACGCGGTTTCGCGGGCAAAGGGTCGGCGAAGTAGGCGCGTCGCCGCGGAAGCCCGGCAAAGGGCCTAGGGGAAACACGGAATCCTAGGGGGAAGGCTTAGCGAAATTGCGACGAAGAGCCTCCAGGCCGGTGGCCTAGTTGGCCTCTCCTCTCTTTCTCCACCTTTCTCCTCCTTTCTCCTCCTTTCTCCGCGCTCTTGACCACGTACGGAGAACTACGCTCCCCGTTTCATCGACCCTAGTAGCGTAGAATAATTTATAAACATTTCTTTATAATATTTGCAAAATATCTCAAGCGACAGATTTTTTAAGATTTCTTGTAGTTTTCGTTCGAAGATATTTGAAACATTTCTTTAAAATCTCAATGACATATTTAGGTTAAATTATTTATAAAGGAATAGAGAAATGTTTTTTAATTTATTAACATAATAAAAATACATTTTTTACTTCACGACTGTTATCGGACCCTTCATTTGGTATCAAAAGACAAGAGAGATTTTTCTAATATTTTCGTTCCGCTATTTCATTACGGGAGCGAAACGGGTGATTTTGAGTTTAAATATTTTTGAAACGTTTGTAATGTATTCGACAGATTGTATTTAAAAAATACTTGTATTAAAATGAAACGAAATGTTTTGTATATCTGGTAGAAAAATATTATGAAAGCACATGGAGGTAATAT